GGGGGGGGGGGCAAGGGGTGAGGGAGTGTGGGTGTGGGTGGTTGTGTGCGCGTGTGTATGTGCGTCTTTTCGGGTATTTCAACTCGACAACCGCGCAAGCTCCGAAGTCAAAATTTTGCCAACGGGTTCCCCGGCCAAGTGCCACCTAGGACCGCGGCATCAATCCTCACGCCAGTCTGGACCCCGCGTACGACCACGTGGAGGTTTTGGCGGAAAAATTCACTAACTCGGCAACCGGAAAAGCTGGGAAGCTGAAATTGAGGAGATGTTCCCCTGCCCCTTCCATCAAGCATGCGTATTTCTTACGTATGACCCTGCGACGCTTTTTGGCGGGAAAATTGCTAACTTGAAAAACTGGAATTTTAACAGAATTTTCCCTTCCCAAGTATACGTTGTAGTTGTACGATCAACTTTCTGAAGTCCCAAGACCAGTATGTCATAAATTCTAGCTGCTGTGATTCCATGCGACCTTACAATAGCACGAGATACTGCAAAAACTCATGATCGTACGGGCTCGCCTACTGCGCGCTGCCAATTTTTCCTGTATTTGTGCAGCGCAAAAAACGCATGTTGTCGAGGGAGTTTGTGTGCTTGTGTGTTCGCATCTTCGGTATCGGGATCTACGAAAGCTACAAAGCTGAAAATTTGGCAGCTTAGTCTGCACCTGCGTAGTGCATCAAGAGTTAAAATGAATGTTCATATCCTTGTATTTCTCACGTATGGACATGTGAAAGTTTTTGGCGGGGAGCGATTTGACGAGCAAGGCAAGCTGGAACCAAGGAAAGTATGTGAACCAAGGAATTTAAATTCATCCTTCAAAAATGATCACGTCTCATACGTCAGAGGTTAAATTTTCTGGCGACATGCCAACACGGGATTTAGACTGCTTAGAAAACTGATGAAAGCTGTGATCTGAGCGTGGTCGCGTCTATTGTGTTTGATCGGATGCACATGAAAGCAGTTTTTACATTTCTTTTACGCCAGATTAAGTACATTTTACATGTGGGCACGTGCAATTTGCCGTAACTCCGCAACCAAAGCAGCTAGAGTGCTGAAATTTTTTGAGCAAAGCCCAGGACGTTTGGGTAGGTGCATATAGAAACAGTATTTACTTTCCCCCATGTGTGAGTACGTGAAGTTTAATGTTGCTGCGCAGGTAGTTGGACTGTTAAAATTTTTTAGGCGTAGACTGCAATCGTAATTGGACTAGGATACGGGGAAACAATTACTTTTTTCCTCGTATACGAGCACCTGGAATTTAACCTACTTTACAACCGAAGCATCTAGAGTGCTGGAGTTTTCTGGGCAGGACTTAAGACAGTATTTGGGCAGATATACATGTAAACAACATCCGCTTCCCCTCGCACGCAAACAGATAAAATTTGACGTAACTTTAAACCAAAGCAGCTGGAATGCCAAAATTTTCTAAGCGTAGCCGACAATCGTGTTTATTGATCATTCTCGTGATAATTTTGACAATTTAGTGGTCATTCTTAATTTTTGTAGCTAGAAGTACTTGCCGAAGGAAATCTTGGGAGAAAACTGTGCAAAAAACGCATGCTGTCGCCGGCGAGGCCGGTGCATTATATCCTGTTGTTTCATATTTAAATCTGTTTTTTCGCTTGGTAATTGCTTTCAGATTTGTGAGTGTTTCGGATGTGTATGAACCGATTGATATGGGTTCTGAGTCGCAGGTGTTCATTTCGCGTTCGTACGATGCGACAACGCACTTTGAGACGACCTGTAAAGATGTTTTAGATATATTCCAGCGTGGCACAACCACAGAGTTCGACTTCACCAAAATTACCCATCTCTCACTTGAGGACCAGGAGTGATACCCAATTAATTTTTTTAAGTAGCTTCGCACTCGTTTCTCCTTTATCCGTATAATTTATTGATATCTGATGCGCGAAATTCGGCTTCCTGCAGCTGTTCCGTTAACATTTTCACTTCCTG